CCCCAAAACCCCAAAACCCCAAAACCCCAAAACCCCAAACAGGTGAATGAATATTGAAAATTATAAAAACTGAAGTTTTGTCTTCATATGGTTCACCTGATACTTTGATTCTTCATCAGAAGACAGGTCATATTCTTCTCTTTTCTCCTTCTCATTTGCGTTGAGGGAGGTCGAATCTTGTCCAACATTTCCACAGTAGGAGCATTCTAAAGGTAACAAGCATGGACTTACCTGAGTCAGAGCAAACGCTTTTCTCTCCTAAAATGTCAAATCTTAAAATTACTTTTGAAAATCGTTGTGATCGTCCTTTTCTTGTTTCTCTTTGAACTTCCCTTCAACGGATTGTTTGAAACATACTGCTCAATTTTAGAATCTTCTCTTCTGACCTTTATGATTTCCCCACTCCCGTCTACTTCAACTGGCTCTTCGATTGATGAAGAGTCTTGAGGCATAGGTTTAGCTTTTTGATGTACGAAAGATTTGAGATAATCTGTCTTTGACTCCTAACATTTTAGAACAGTATTACCTTTGAAGATCTGTAGAGAACATCTGGAGTGCAAACTTTCTATATATAAAATTTTTAAGATTACTTGATCTAAATACTGCATTCTTTTGTGAAATAAATATGCATAGAAAGCATTTCTGACTCTCCTTGCTTGTCCTTGCTTAGAGAAGTATTTCTTAAGCTCATCAAGATTAAATTTTACAATCTCAAAATGAGCTCTATTATTTGGGACTTGTACCTTAGCTGTCATATTCCATGGGAAATTGCCAGAATTAACGGCATGATAACAGTCATAAATAGATAGCCAATCTGCATTGTTAACTGAATATATATCACTACCATTATGACTAAGCTGGCATTTAGAACCTTTAGAAATAATGTGGCAGTAGATTAATTCAGAAATTCTTTCATTTTGCTTTATTAGGGTTTCAGATGATCTCACCACTTCAACTTCAGCATATTTCATCAACTGTTTGAAATCACCTTCTCTAAAGTATAGCTTAAAGTCTTGCTGGTATATCTCTCGCTCTTTCTGCGTCAGCTTCGGCTTCACAAAACTCAGCATGAACATCAGTATGTGAATCAAGTTGATAACGATTAGAACTCCATTCCAGATAATGGTGTCCAGCTCAAGCTTCGAAGGGTACACGCAAGCCCACACGATAAATCAGACTTCTCCAGCTATCAGCAGAGACCGGAACAGGAATGAGTACCACTGGAGCCAGGCAAGGAAGACGAGGCCAGCAGCAACTTGGTGGAGGGGTTTACGCCAGTCGAGGTCATCAGTGATATCATCAAGAAATAATTGCCTAGATTCTTTATTTTCATCTTCATGAGCAATACATACAAAGTTGATCAAAGTCATCACAGATAAGACAAGAGGAACTGAATATTGTAGCTTTAACTCAGAAATATTTCTTATAATTTTCTGGTAAAAGCTGTTAAATTTGCTGAACTTAGATGAAACCATTTTTATTCTCTAACAATTAAAAATACCCCCTTTGGGGTTTTGGGGTTTTGGGGTTTTGGGGTTTTGGGG